TTCCCCCCTCCCCCTTACCCCCAGCCCCCCTGTGTGTGGCCGAGCTGGGGCTCGGACCTGCGCTCGGACCTCTGGGGGATCCGGCAAGTGTGCAGGCGCCTCGCGCGCAGAGGGCCCGCTCCTGGATGGAGCCGGGCCTCGCAGGTGCGGAGCGTGCTCGCGGCGTCGGGGCGCCAGCGCCTGCCGTGCCCTGCTTCGGGTAATGGAGCGCAGCTGCCGCCGACAATTGTACTCCTGCACCTCCTCCAGGTGTTTCTCGTAGTTTTGGTCCCTCTCCCCCCCTCCTCCTCCTCCTCCCCTCCTCCTCCTCCGCCTCCTCCTCTCCTCCCCTCCGTCCGTCTCCCCCTCCTCCTCCTCTCCCCTCCTCCTCCTCCTCCCCCTCTCTCCCTCCTCCTCCTCCTCCTCCTCCCCTCCTCCTCCTCCTCCGTCATCCTCCTCTTCCTCCTCCTCTCCTCTGTCTACACCGCCCAACCACCTCCTCCTCCTCCTCCTCCTCCTCCACCTCCTTCACCTCCTCCTCCTTCTCCTCATCCTCCTCCTCATGCCTCCTCCTCCACCTCCTCCTGATTTTGACGCTGCGCGGACTCAAGCCAGAATGATGTAGCGTTTCAGCTCATCCTCATGCCTCCTCCTCCTCCCGCCCCCTCCCTTCCCTGAGATCCTCGCGCAGTGAAGAAATCAATGATGGATTTATGGCGTCGTGGGTGTCGTCATCGAGGCCCAGGGCCGCGAACAGAAACAGCTCGGGATGGAGGGCCGGACCCCCCGGGAAGGGGTCCAGACATCTAGGGTCCAGCACGACGTCTGTGGTAGGGGCCCTCATCGCCCCACTTCCACCTCGAGGCCGTCGGCGGCGGCTGTGCAACCGAGGTCCGCCCCTTGAGGAGGGAATCGGACCACGAGGAGAGAGCAGGGAGGGGAGGTCAGTCGGTCGGGGGAGGAAGACGGCGAGGGAGAGGAGGAGGAGGAGGAGGAGGAGGAGGAGGAGGAGGAGGACGAGGAGGAGGAACCCAGGCCCTGAGAGACCCTGGCGTCTCCATGCCCAACCATCCTGTGTTGGGCCTTCGTTTTGAAGAGACAGCGCAACGCGCCTCCTCATGTCCTCCTTCCTCCTCCTTCCTCCTCCCCCTCCTGCTTCCTCCTCCCCCTCCTCCTCATCCTTCCTCCTCCCCCTCCTCCTTCCTCCTCCCTCTCCTCCCCATCCTTCCTCCTCCTGACTCCTCCTCCTCCTCCCCCTCCTCCTCATCCTTCCTCCTCCTTCCTCCTCGTCCTCATTCCTCCTCCTCCTCCTCCTCCTCCTTCTCCTCCTCTCCTCTTCCTCTTTCCTCCTCCTTCCTCCTCCTTCACCCTCCTCCCATCCCTGCCTCTGCCCTCCGCACCCAGTACTGCGCTTCGTGGCACCACAAGGAGCTCCACCGAAGGCCCCAACGGCTGTGATCACATGCGTCCCGCGCCATCCAATACGGAGCTTCATGGCCCCACAGCGAACTTCACCGAAAACGCCAGAGGCTGTGATCACATGCGTCCCGCGACATACGGCGTTTCGTGGCCCCATAATGAACTCCACCGAAGGCCCCAGTGGCTGTGATCACATGCGTCCTGCGCCACCCTATATGGCGTTTCGCGGCCCCATACGGGGCTCCACCGAAAGGCTGTGATCACATGCGCCCCGCGCCCCCCAATGCGTCGTTTCGTGGCCCAATAGGGACCTCCACCGAAGGCCTCAGTGGCTGTGATCACATGCGCCCCGCGCCACCCAATACGGCGCTTCGTGGCTGTGATCACATGTGTGCAGCGCGACCAAATACGGCGCTTCGTGGCCCCATATGAGGCTCCATCGAAGGCCCACATGCGCCCCGCGACACCCTATATGGCGTTCCGTGGCCCCATAGGGAGCTCTGGCATACACCCTATGGCTGTGATCACATGCGTTCCGCGCCACCCAATACGGCGCTTCGTGGTCCCATAGAGAGCTCCACCGAAGGCCCCAGTGGCTGAGATCACATGCGCCCCGCGTCCCCCAATACGGCGTTCCGCGGCCCCATATGGGGTTCCACCGAAGGCCCCAGTGGCTGTGATCCGCATGCGTTCTGCGCCCCCCAATACGGCGCTTCGTGGCCCCCAAAGCCATTCCACCGAAGGCCCCAGTGGCTGTGATCACATGTGTCCAACGCCACTAAATACGGCGCTTCGTGGCCCCATATGGGGCTCCACCGACACCCTATACGGCGCTTCATGGCGGCATTGCGAGCTCCACCGAAGGCCAAAGTGACTGTGATCACATGCGCCCCGCGCCCCCCAATGCGTCGCTTCGTGGCCTCATAGGAAGCTTCACCGAAGGCCCCAGCGGCTGTGATCACATGCGTCCCGCGCCACACAATACGGCGCTTCGTGGCCCCATAGTGAACTCCACCGAAGGCCCCAGCGGCTGTGGTCACATGCGCCCCGCGCCACCCAGCACAGCGCTTCGTGGCTCCAAGGGGAGCTCCACCGACGTCCTCACTGGCTGTGATCACATGCGTCCCGCGCCACCCAGTACGGCGCGTCGTGGCCCCATAGGGAGCTCCACCGAAGGCCCCACTGGCTGTGATCACATGAGCCCCGCGACCCCCAATGCGGCGCTTCGTGGCTCCGCAGGTAGCTCCACCGAAGGCACCAGTGGCTGCGATCACATGCGTCCCGCGCCACCCAATACGGCGCTTCGTGGCCCCAAAAGCAACTCCACCGAATGCCCAAGTGACTGTGATCACATGCGCCCCGCGCCCCCCAATGCGTCGCTTCGTGGCCCCATATGGGGCTCCACCGAAGGCCCACATGCGTCCCGTGCCACCCTATACGGCGCTTCCTGGCCTCATAGGGAGCTCTGGCATCCGAAGGCCCCAGTGGCTGTGATCACATGCGTCCCGCGTGGCCCCATATGGGGTTCCACCGAAAGCCCACATGC